AGGACAAAGAAAGAATCCTAAAAGCAGCACAAGAAAAACTAAAAGTTACCTACAAGGGGCAAACGATAAGACTAAGCCTGGATTTCTCAGCAGAAACCATGCAGGTGACAAGACAATTGGATGGTATATATAAAACCCTGAAAGAGAAAATTTCCAACCAAGAATTATATCCAGCAAAACTGTCCCCTCAAATATGATGGTGAAATTAGTACATTTCCAAGTAAGCTGAAATTAAGGGAATTTGTTGAAATCAGACCAACCTTACAAGAGATGTTAAAGGGAGTCCTGCAGACAAAGAACCAATAACAGCAAACCACCACTGCCCATTAACACACATGATGATATAATCCAGAAACCAAACCAGTTATAGAAGTACCCAAAGTAAATAAGCCTACAAGATTGTAAACAGGGAACCAGAGACATCAACTGACAAATTAGGACAACTACAAACCAAAAGACAGAAAAAAATTGTGTAGTTACAGAATTTCTAAATGGCAGGAAAGTCAAGACAACTACAAGATAGAACAGACTGTTCTAAACTTGGAAAGAAAATTATAAATCACAGAGTAACCTCAAAGAAAAATGATAAACCTTCATCTCAAAATAAAAAAGAGGACCAACACAAATATTTAGCAAATACTGAAACAATAGCAATGAAAGAAGTAATAACATCATTCATAACAAAAGGAGCTAAGCACAGAATATTATATGGAACAAAGAAATCAGGAACACCACGAACAAGCACATACAAAACGAAAGCAATAAATTCATACTTGTCGATAATTACATATCCGATAAATTTCTAAAATTTATAGAAAATTCCAACACCTCAACAACAAAAACATTAACAATCCAATTAAAAAATGGCCAGTAGACATGAACAGACACTTCACCAAAGAGGATATTCATAGGTGGCCCGCAAATACATGAAGAAATGTTCACAATCATTAGCCATCAGAGAGATGGAAATCAAAACAACAGGATACCATCTCACCCCAGCACTAATGGCAAAGTTCAACAAGACAGAACATAATAAATGCTGGCAAGGATGTGGAGAGATTGAGACTCTCATACACTGCTGGTGGCCTGTCCAATGATACAACCACTGTGGAAAAAACACCATGGCAATGCCTTAAAAAGCTGGAATTAGAAATACCATTTGACCCAGAAATCCTATTACTAGGTATATATCCTAAAGAAGTGAGAGGCAGGACAAGAAAGATATATGCACACCCATGTTCATTGCAGCACTATTTAAAATAATAGCAAAAAGATGTAAACAACCTATGTGCCCATCAACAGAAGAATGGATAACCAAACTATGGTACATACACACAGTATAATACTATGCAACACTAAGGAATAATGTAGAATCTGCAAAACACTGCATAACATGGATGAATCTGGAGGACATTATGCTGAGTGAAATAAGTCAATCACAGAAGGACAAATATTAGTTCATTATTGTAAAAAGTCAAGGAAACGTTTATATATGGAAGGAAACTTTCTTTGTTGGATACAGGGAGGGGAGGGGATACTGTCAAAAAAAAAAGCACTGACCCATGTCACTTTAGTTTTGTGTATTTCACTATACATACATTATATTTCAATAAAATACATTAAAAAAAAAATTGGAGACTACATACCAATACCACACAAACACAAATAAAAGTTTAAAAAAATGCAGAGAATACTTACGGATATAAAACATTTAAAAAAAAAAAAAACGAAAACCTCACTGCTGTCAAGTCGAATCTGATTCATAAGACCCCTCCTGGGGTTTCTGAGTCAGTATCACAATGGAAGTAGATTGCCCAATCTTCTTTCCAAGGAGTGGCTGGTGGGTTTGAACTGCCAGCCTTCTGGTTAGCAGTCAAATGGCTTAGGCACTACGCCACCAGAGCTCCTAATACATATA